TCATGCTGGCCCAGCATCCTCCACGTTGAAAAATGCCCCTGTCCGAAGTGGTTAATACATGGTCAAGTTGAACGTTATTGAATAGGGAGTCTGTCTGAGGTATTTATGAATTTCAGGTATGTCAACTGAGAAATCCATGGACATACAGATGTGACCTCAATGCTACTTTAGGGTGGGAACTGAAGCCCAATTGTGTGCTAAACTATAGTACTAGATGATAAGTGATAACGTCGACGTGGGCACAATTCCATAGAGCAGCAAATGCAGCTTAGCAAATATACGCCATAACCAAAAATCAGCGATAAACACGGCATAAAATTTGGGCAGGAGCTCTAGTTTTCTCTAAGCAAATATTTCCTGTGCTAAGCAGTGTTCTGCAATCAACCCCTTGTGCTGTGGGATCTCTTACCCAGTGGTGTGTTGTGAGGTGTCGGGGTGGTTTGGTGAGTCAGGGTGGCCACCTCCGACTCCATCTCTGTCTCTGCCTGGCTGCTGCCAGAGATCTTCAGCATCTCAAAGGACAACACATCCTGGGCAGTCAACATCTCAGCCGAGGAGCACACCCGCATGGGGATGGAAGGGTCCTGCTGGCCAGCCTGCAGCTGGGCCACAGCATCGAAGGAGGCCTCCTGATTGGCATCTTCCACTTTCTAAAGGGGATGACAAAAGACACCTGTAAATCAATCTTGGGTAAAGAAAACTACATGGCGGGCGTGTATAAGCTTAAATAGGCAAAGGCAAAGTGCTCGATGGACAATTATCTTGCTCTGAATGAACTTTCTTTCCATGATTTTTAAACGAGTCCAAAAGATTCAACCCATCCTTCACCACTGTTGGTATGGGTTACAAGAAGGAAACAAAGTCAGTCTTCACCCTGCAGAGCTATCCATTCACATTTGCCCTCCACCATCACCAGTCGATTCATTCCCTATGGTATCTTAGATAAGCATGTAGCATCTGTTTCTTTCAAAATGTCTTTGATCCACTTTTGGTCTAAGAACAGCTTCTATAACATCACTTAATCTGAACAAATGTTTCATATTTGGAAACCATCCCGACACAGACAAGTGCATCGGATACTTCAAGTTGTTTGGTTTCCATTGAGCAATTTCCAGTACATGAAATTTGTATCCAACAAGTAACAAGCTTGCATGAGGGGGGGTGGGTGGATGTGAATTTTCAGACTTTTCAGTCACATTTGGCATAAGCATAGCCATTCACTACTTAACTCTTCGATACTAATACAGTCACTGAAAACTACAGGACTTGAAGGAGTTGAAAACATGTTAGACATCAATGAAGAGTGGAACATTACTGTTCTGCTGCATGAAGTACCTGCACTGTGGAGGTGTACGTTTTGCGGGAAATATGCAACTGCCACATTGGGATGTAACATTGGACATCATTGGCCACAGTTTTTCACCTCAAAATCAAAGAGATTTTCTTTTCTCTTTGATACTGTTTATTGTTCGTACTGCAGACAAGGTCAGTTGGGAGCCTAAACCATTTTACCCCCAATCTATAGCAGCATCAAAACACACAAAAGCAAGAGCACGTGGAGATAGCTAAACCTAAAGAAGAACACAAGTTTAATTATGAACACCATCACATATAAAATGACTAGAAAATTACTTTCCGTTACAAATGAACAAACAAAGATTATGAAGATCTCAAGTCACGAGTACCTTTTCGTCTCTGGTTGGTTGGTCGACAGTGATGTTGCACCAGACCCGATGACCAAAGTGCTCACCGTCCTGGGCCAGGCGCCAGTGGCTCTGGTACTGCCCTGGTAGGGAGGGGGCCACAAACTCCAGACAGATCTCTCCCTCCTCCCCGGGGGCAACTGGTGGCACATCCACAGCATCGGGGGTGGTGGTAGGCATGCTACCCCACAGGTACTTCAACTGCAAAGTTCAAAGAGTGACAATCAGGAGAAATGCAGGGTCAATGTTACAGAAATGGGGAACCAATGGAACTGGTGCTGTGCATCCAAATTTACAAAGGCCCAAAACAAATTGAAACAAAAGAACAAAAAAAACCCCTAAAGCCACATTTTTGGGGGACGGACAGAATCTGCCCATCCATTTGAACAAACATTTCAACCTATTTGGATGGCCATTATCAAATTTGGAAGGATTTTGACAAAAACAAGAATTTGACAGTTAATTTTGCATATTTAACCCTAAACCCCTTATCACCTTTGACTGAAAGCCTGACGAATACAGGAGAAGTTGGGAGCTGTTTCAAATGGGCAGTCAGCACACAAAGACACACAGTGCCATCATACCCTACAGAGGTCCACACTATGTACGCCACGTCTGTACATACACTCTGATGAAATTGATCACACACTCGGCACAGCCCATGTCAAGTGCACATGGACCTATACGCTACACACAGTGCATCCCCACGCCACCTCTTATTTCTGCCCCCAGCTCCTACCTTGGTGTCCTTGTTCCAGGTAGCTGGTCCGGTGTTCTTCATAACCCAGCTCTTGACAAACTTGGTGTCAGGCTGCAAGTGGGTGTCATCAGGCAGGTTGCCATCACGCACAAACACTGCATCCATCTTCCAACGCCTGGAGCAAAACGTTGATAATTGGGGAATAACAACTGCTCAAAGACTGCGGTTCATTACAGACGACTCTGATGATTTTTACGCTTCCTGAATACTTAAAAACAAACTTAGAGAAATTCTCAGATTCAATCCAGACATCAGGAATAGGATATCAGCACCGGCAGGTATCCAAAAACCAGGCGGCTTTGAGAAAAAAATTGAGTTACACTGTTTGCTTCAAATTTTCAATTACTATTTTAATTGTTCCGTTTAATTATGAATTCAACGGATCTGATAGCCAGTTTGTTTGGTCCTGTAATTTTCACACAGTTTAGTCAACAATTAAGGAGAGCCATCTGCCTTGAGGAATTTGTCTTACTTTTAAAAAGTCCATCCACTAGCACCTTTCAACTTCAGACTTCCTTTGTGGTCTTTCCTCTTTTTTTGCATGAGAATGTTTGAGATGTTTGGCCATTTTCTTTTGACATCTGAAGGGAAGCCTTTATTCACACAAACTGGTTTCAATTAAACAGAAACCAAACTGTAAACGTAACCAAACCATCCATACATCAATCCATTCATTCATAGAGTAACCAAATAACACTTGCAGGTTTGGTCATACCCTTTTATTAGCCATCTGTTGGTGCTTTGATTTTGAAAAGGTGTTAATCTTTCGCATTTCAAGTCCAAAGGTAGAATACTGGGTTCAAACAGGGACAGAGGGAAAATTCAAAACATTGAAATCTCCCCCCCCCAAAAAAAAAATTAGGAAATTTCTTGTTTAAAATCCTGGAAAATAAAACAGAGCCCGATATTCAAGGCAACAGCCAGTTCTCTAGTATCTGGTTAAGCCACACATGCCAGCCTATCATGCGTTTGGACTTACATGAGCAGCTTGCTCGTCTCTGTCGCACTTTCCTCTCCCTTGTGCTCTGTGCCAGGCACAGTGTCCCCCTGGGGTACCATCACCACATCTGGCACCGCATCCGCTTGGGTAACTGTCACTTCTTCTGCCTTGGCTTTCCCTACCACGTGGGCTGCTTGCAGGATCTCTTCCACCTGCCGCTCAGCCATGCGCTCCAGACGCTCGCGCTTGCTGGGCGAGATCATGTGACACACCTCTCCTCGATATCGTCGCTTCTCCTCCTTGAACTTGCGTTTCAGCTCCGCCTTGGCTTGCTTGCGAGCCATCTTCTCTTCTAGGCGTTTTAGACTGATGCAAAGAACGACAACTACATTCAAAGCTGACACTTTTTGAACCATTATGTGTCAGAGGGCATGTAAACACAAGCTGGCTATCTGTGTACACAGGCAAACTTATCAGATTAAAATGTCAAGGGTGCCTTGACTCACACCTCAGGCTAACATTGGGAACAAGCTAACCGCCCATTTGTTTTATACACACACAATGTCCAACAAATCTGCGGAGATAGACCATGTGTTTCAAGTGAACTTGGCTGCAGCGCACGGTGTGTTATGCACCCTGGAGTGTTGACAAAATGAAGTTGCAGTAAGGAATATCGAATAGGTACTATTCAAATGACTCTTGCGAATCACTGTTCATGGTATTAGACAGTTTATCAAAAGTTGATTGCTACATCTTGCTTTTGTTTTGGAGGCCAATAGTCTGCACATAGGCAAAACTAATGGTAAGAGGCCAACAGATCTGTTTCTGAAATCATCATTCTGTTTTGATTACCTTCCAATAATACCTCCGACCCACAACACATGGGGTAGTATCCATAACCCCAAATAATTCAGTTTTATAAGACCAACACCCACCTGTTGCTGACAGTAGCAGAGCTGTCATCGCTGTAGATTGGCCGCTTCAGTAGGGGAGCCATTTTACCACTAGGCTTTAGACCCAAGCCCTTATGGGCTGGCTGGCGAAGTTTGAGGAACACGTGGCTAGATTCATGGACATCCTCAATGGCCTCACAGGCTTCACACAGATCATAGTCAGTGCAATGCCTACGTCCAACAATCAGAAAAGAAAAAGATGCTTTTCTCCATGTAGCCCATTAATTACAACATAATGAGAACTCTTCTAAATGCAACAAAATGCACTACAGTGCGTCAACACTTACCCACACTTATAACGCACACCGACAATAGTTTTGTTGCAGTTGTCACAGATGACACCCAGATGACAGAACACCTCTGCAAAAGGCAAGACAAATGAAAGTTGCAACGTTTAAAGTTGTACGATGCTTCATAATGACACAAGTGCTGTGGAATTGGCATCTTTTTCTTCAAACATTAAGGACACTTTAAAGGGAGAAAAACAGCCGAACTGCGTGCACATGGTAAAAACCGAAACATCAGAGGAGTGACTCACTCTTGGCTGGACTTCCATCACTGTGATCTTGAACTTTTGGAGGGCGTTTGGAGGGCTTGTACAAAGCTTCAAGTACTGTGCTATCCAATCCATTCAGGACACTACGCACGACACGCTCAACAAGCTGCAGATTGAGAAATTACTAGGTAGAAATTATATTTGACAAATGAACAACAAACACATTGCAATAACGAGCGCTAAACTTTGGTCAAGCACTTTGCTGCAAAGCCCAAGTACAATAAAAAGTCCTTTTCTGGTGAGTCAACTTCAACAATGCCATCTATCCCTTGAGCATGCAAACATACATGCTTCAGTTTACTTCGGAGGAAGAGCAACGGGGGTGTCATGTTAAAAATAAACTTGCTTCTTCAACTCCAAAACCAGCCACGGAAATGAAATGGGAAAATCCAGAGTGCAAATGCGGGCACTGGAGAAAATAAGTCTTTAGCAGCAGATCCAACATACCAGTACATGTATCAATATCAAATATCTCCCAAGTAAATATATATTCAACTCTGTGACAAATGCTGACAATAAGATTATTCACAAGTATTCATGAGATTTCATGTGCGTATTTTGTCTTTTTGCCGTCTTCCTTTCTCAACAATCAAACTCGTTCACAAAGTCCACACACTAGTGCACCATGCTGCAGTAAGGTTTGAAAAACACTCAGGTTGTAGGATTCAGTATAAAGGACCCTTTTTCACTGAAGTACCTTGCATGTCTATATCTGCAGTGCTACACCATACCAGTGCAATGAATGGTACACTAACATCTCACTATACTGCGACACATGACAGTCATGACTTTAATTCCCTCACCACTAAGCTACAATTAAGAAACATGATGAGAAATCAGGCCCAAAATCTTACAATTTTGTTTGCGGTTATGTGCATGTGTGTCAAACCAGAAGTGGAATGATGTTTAATGATAACAGGATTAGGGTCAATATCAAGGACTATGGTTGAGTTGGCAACAATTTGTCAACCCCTGGTTAACAGACCCCCCTCGCAGCTGGTACTGGGCAACTATTCTTTTAACACTGCAAGGAACCATTGAAAAACTTAAAGTGCAATCCCTGTATTGCTTGGTACCAAGGATATATTTTGTGAATTATTCATGAGGCAAACATCAATGAGTAATTTAAGGTTGGTTTTTAATCAGCTTGGTCTGAACTTAGACCTATGGTTGGCAATCCTTACATTTAGGACACTTCTACATTTTTCTGTCAGTCTATTTTTTATGAAACAAACTATATAGGGAAACTGACTGGGTGCTTACATATATTTATACAGATGAACAGAGAAATTGACTGGAGCAGGATTTGAACCTGCGACCTCTGGAATACCATACCGGTACCCTACCAACTGAGCTATCCATCCCTACATTAGTGGCTCTTCCCATCGTACAGTACTCTGGAGGTTGCAGGTTCAAATCCCGCTCCAGTCAATTTCTTTGTTCATTAGTATAACCCCCTTTTTTAAAAAGTCTGAGATGTTTGTCAGTCCATAATTATCTCTACAGTCATGGGAAATTTTCTTTTTACACTATGGAAGATTGAGAAGTCATTTTGTAGAGGAGGCTGCCAGAAAATGTGACATTTTTACCAATTTTGGAAGTTGAAGACATACACATATAACATAAGGTTCTGAAAGCAAGGACTACCCTGGGGTCTGAGAAATCAGTGGGCTCTATCAAATTGGTAAAAATTCAATCCCAGGTGGAAACATGCACATATTCCAAACTACAGTTATGATTTCAAAAGTCTAAGATCCTGCAATGGTGGGGAAGTAGCTGTGTGCTTCTCTGTGTTTCCCGACTCACTTCTTCTGGGACTGCTGTATCAGAGGCCAATGCTGCTGCAGGCGTCTCGCTGCCAACCGTCTGTCCAGGCTGCGACTCTCCGCTCAGGGGTATTGCTGGCATGAGCATGGTGAGTGCCTCGTTTCTCTCAGGTGATGGCTGACAGGCATTGACTGCCTGTTGCTGGAGTTTCTTGGCTGCTTGCATCTGGCCAGAAGTGCTGACCAGGTCTGCGTAGTAAGAACCTTTCTTGCTGCTGTCGCTGCTGAGGTCACAAGTGCCTCGTAGAGTGGAGCACTGCACAGGGACTCTAGGGTTCGTCTTAAAGAGTGATGCCTAGATGCACAAACCAAGACATCACAGAAATCTTGCAAATAATTAAGGTATTAGGGCTTACTAATCCAGACACCCAATTCAAGAAATCATTTGAAATCACATATTTTCAACTGACAACCATCAAACAAAATTTACAACAATACTGCAATCAAATGCATGCTCTTAAATGCGTCCTTCCCGTGACTAAAATTCTCAAAACATTAGGACGTTATTTTGAGAAGAAAAAGTTCTGAGAAGCTTAAACTCTCAAAATTAGAGAAAAACATTAACTTTAGGAGAAACTTCAAAATATAACACTAATGTGAAAGTCTTAACTTTGTTTATGTCAAAAACTTGCTTAATCTTAGCCTTGAGAGGAGACTAGGGTTTGTGGCCTTGTCACTCTTCATTGTTATTAGGTTTTCCCTTCCACACAATAAATTAGACCCATAAACACTTTACAGCCTGCAGCACATTCACACCTGGGTCTCAGCCTTTGAGCAAAAGGGGCATTTCACTGTCCTTACACAAGCTAGTCACTAGCTATTCAGGCTGTTCTCTGTGACTCAAAATCAGATAACTCAAAGCTGTTTTCCCAGGAGACACACTTCATAAACTTCAGGATAATAGAATATTATAAATAACTCAAAATGCCTGTGCCGAACCTCTGTTCTGTTCAACTAATAAAAAACAATCATAGACAAATGTAAACAGACTGCAAAGCTTTTTGATGAGTCAATACTCCCCATTGCACTTTGTCCTTTCATACTGGGATACAGTTCACAAATCACAAAGTACGCCAACACCACTATCAAGTCTTCTGATTGCTACTGCTCAACCAATAGGCCCTATTAGCGGGGCCAATTTCAGTCATATTACCTAATGTAGTGTATTTCTTTGAAAACGTTAAATTCAAAGAACCAGACTATATTCAATGATTTCATTCCGACCCCCAAATTCACCTGGTACCATCCATTAAGGGTTTCAAATTTATACTGAACATTCAAGGAGTACCACTAAATTGAGGATACCGCAAATACAGTCTACTGTAGCCTGAACACTAACAATCCAATCCCTGGCTCTTTGTGGTAATCATATGAGCGCAATGGACACTTGGCTTTGAATTAGACTAATCACTGTCACTGTCCCAGTTTCTGGTTCATGCAGCAGGGCCAGCAGCACATGTTCGTGCATATGATGCAGTACAAGAAGAAATACAGAATTGTTACACACAGTTTGACTTGTTTGTTATACATCCATTAATGACAAAACCCCTTCAGGAAAGACTGGTATGCAGAATCATGAAAATGATATTTTCAATGGTCTAGCTAGGCAGAGGAGGCTGTGAAATCCAGCAGACTGCCAGCACATGGATCAGACATTAGCGCTCGTGATTTTGCAGTGTTTTGATTTCCAAACCCAAACACAGCGTGCCCCTACGTTGCAAAATTAATGTAACAATTACATTTATTCAAACTGAAGATTTATTCTGCTGCTAACCTAACATGATCAATAATATCAATTTAAAGTGGTATCAACTGTGACCCACCATCCCAAAACCAGGCTGAAGTCGGTATTTGTCATGTTGGACAATTCCCCTCCTTTAGCTTTTTTTATATTTTAAAGTGATCCATGTTAAATTGAAATTCTGTCTGCAGTGAGCTTCTTACAGGTAGTGATAGTTGTAAACTGCCACCAACATCTGAACAGTGGAAGTTCCACTATTTTAGAGTTATGAAGTTACCTACTTCAGCCTGGTTTTGGGATGGTGGGTCACAATTCATCGACTTATATGGATACATGGACAGACCCTACAACAGGCAGTGAGTGCATGCATCTTTGACTGTGAATGAAGAGAAAAATGACTGAAGCCAAAATCTGTGTGGATCAACACTGCACCTGTGGCTCTGGAGCTGATGTTTCCACAGGCTCGGCACAATTGCTGGAACTACTTTTTTCTGCTGGCTTTGATGTTGTCGAAGCCGCGGGTTTGCAGGCTATCTTCAGACAGAGCACATCCTGCTGTTTCTGGGCAATTTTCTTTGCCTCAGTCAATTCCCCTGCAAGTAGAATAAAAACAATCATCAAACAGATGAAAAACTGTTCACTGCTATATCCCTTTTTCACAGATCTGTGTTTTTTAAGTTTGTTTAATTTTTTCTCATTTGTTCCCTCTCAAAACCTGTTCAATATTTTAGTTCACTTTCATTATAGCTGTCTATAAATTGCATTCTTCAAAACCAATTGAGCTTATTAATACCAGGCAAGTGAAAACCATTGATGTGATTGGTTCTAATGTGTGTGTAAATACTTCATGAATGTGTATTTACATGTGTCATTAAAAAAGAAATATGAAACAGTGCAGGATTTCCTCAATCCAAAAAGCTACTTTGTTATGCTGTAAACTGCGTGAACTTTGACCACAAACTCGGTATTTCAATTACTAGCAGCCGATTTCACGAAACTTTACACAATAGCGTAGTTTCACTTTCGCCACATTTTACTGCATAAGTTGTGCAACAAATTAATAGCGATTTCACGAAAGTTATGCATTGCGGAAGTCCACAACTTACGCAACAAATTATGGCATAACTTATGCCTTCATTTACGGTGGCACATGTTGCGCCATAAGAAGCAAAAATTCATGATTTGACTAGCTTACTGTGTTCGGGTAAGCCTCATCATTGCTGAACTTAAGGCTTATACAAGAAACGTACAATTTTGTTGTAGACAGTAAAGAGACAGTCGTTTGGCTGTGAGAAAAAATACAAGATTTTCTGTCCGGTTCAGACAAGGAAAACCTGAAAACTTTTTCAAGATGGCAGGTGGAGGTGATTCAAGGTCTGTTTGATGACTGATGTTATACTGGAAAAGAACAGCCGTCGTAAAAGCCATTTCCGTCCTCATTCGAGAAACTTATCATTAATTAAACGTGGTGCAGCTACGCAACTTTTCGTGAAATCAAACGAAAGTATATTGCTCAGCTTTGGCATAAATTTGTAGCGCAAGGCTTATGCATAGTTCAAAGAGAAGCCACGTTTCGTGAAATTGGCGGCAAAATATAATGAGCCAAACATTTCCACTTCAAAATAAAAAAAGGAGTGGAGAAAAAAAGCTGCTTAGAAACTCAAAAATAGTAAACACCATTAAAAAAGCAAGTCCAATGGTTGCATACATTGTAAGTGAACTTGTATAAATGCATGCATGTACATGAACCCAGCAACAGCTACATTGTACATGTATCACAAATTGAAAAGTGTGACCTCAGCGTGTATCATCCTGTTGAAAAGAGAGACAGGTACACCATTTCTGGTAGCTGGTACACTGCACAGGATGAACTCTGGTACATGGTACATGTACATGTACAATTACATGTGAAAATGTATACATGTATACATGTGCAGTACGGAACTCAATTCCCTTGATGTGCAAGATGCACATCAAGGGAGTGAAAAGGACCCCACAGCCAAAAATAACCCCAAATGCCCAGTGGAATTTTGACTTTGTTACGATTAGAGCCACTCACTACAGCCAATATGATTGGCTCTAGTGAGATACATGTACATGTACGTGCCATACACGTGCACTGTCTGCAAACATGTTAATACCCCAAACTAGTTGCACAATGGTTAGCAATATGTTGGTGACTCATAATCATTAGACTGATGGTGAATACATGGCGTACACAGTGGTGCATGAAGGGCTATATTTAGGGCAGAGTCAATTCGAATAATTCAGTCTTCGAATCTTCAACCTTCAATTTGATAAAATATCTGATTATTTGATCGTACCGACCGGCAAACTGTTGATGAACAAACCTTACAAAATCAGTTGAAATAACACACACAATTGTTCATTATAATCCCCATAAAAGCTTCTCATTTCCAGTTGAGCACCATATCTCCAGCCACAACTTAGCAAGATTTAAGCGACAAGCAATACTTCTTGCCCTGTTGAAAATTTCTATTCCTTTTAAATTTTGTAATGAATAATTTACTTTTTGAATCGTTGTAAGATGTCTGACGCTTTTCATTTGAATCTGCTCAAAACAAGCCTCCATTGTACAATTTTTCTCATTTAAAACATTGAATGAATTGTACATTAAATAAAGTTTTGGAAACTGACCATTCCTGGTTAATTATCTAAAAAAATAACAGAACAATGTTCAGAAAAAGTTTTCAAATTGAAATCTATCATGTATAATTTCAACATAGCAGTCATGCACCCAGCTGAAGGAGCATTTCACAGATTATACAGTATGTGCAATCTCTTTAAGTATATTGAGCTTTAAAAAGCACCTAATGTTAAACAATCCAAACCTGTACTGCAAATTGTAATGCAAGAATGAGTTTCCAACAACCCAGATCTCTAAACCCTGCAACAAACTTACCTAACCTGGAAACAATGAGTCACTAGACATGTGTATCAATGTACACAATGCATGTACAGATATGTACATACATGTAAGTTGCTCCAACTGATCAGTGAATTCAAATGACCCACTGTGAATTTTGCACAGTGCCTGAACAGAATAACACCTGTTCAGTCATAATCTACTTAATTTCCATAAACTGCTTTACAAAGAGAATGAATTCATTCTTAAATACCGAACCAGTCTTTTTTTTCATTGGTCCAAAGCTAAGTAGTTTACGAATGTAATCCACCTGCAAACAGCCCTGAGTTTTTAAACTTTGGCACAATAAAGTCACTTTTCAAAGAAGTATACAAATTTCTACCGAGAATGTAAAGCTTTAAAGTATTAAAAACTAATGTCTAAATCCCTAAAACATGAAAAGTTTACATACAGGTAAGAACTTTTATTCTAAATATTTTCTTAACCTTGAGGTGTTGTCTTGTTTTTTCCTGTTGTTTTGTTGTCTAATTTGCAATTCACAGATGCTGGTGCGTCCATAGATTTTCCCCGAAAATTATCAAAACCTGGTGTTAACATATTTTTCCCACAATTCAACAAACATGTACCTGGGAAAAGTTCATGTTTACAGTCCCAGTTTTCTCAAGATCAATGTCCAGTTCTTGTAAACAGTTACAAGACCAGTGTTTATGCTGAACAATGACGTATCAAGTACATGTTTTATACTTCAGTTAACATTTTACCATTTCACAACCAGTCTGCATTGTTTAAAGGGCACTATTTCATACTCATGTACCTGTGTCAACATGTACTAGTACATGCCTGCAATACACTGTACATGTAACCACATGTCACAATCTCCCAGCACATACATGTACAAACTGTATGCTCCATATTATTATGGGGTAAATCATTACAAAATGGATACTGTACATACATGAACGTTTGCATGTAAAATACGACAGAAAGACAAATTTCATGTACCTTCTGCTATGCCGTAAGACAAAAGCTAAAATGAAAACTAATGACCAAGATTGAAGATGCGCAATCAACAACGTAATGATACCAGCATATTATCATAAATACGTTTACAAAGTGGGCATAACTTTTAATCCAAAAATGAAGGTAAGTTATAAATGTAATTTGCGCTTGTTGGCAAGATTCTTTCACTGTTGAATCATGTAGACAAAATAAAGCACACACAAACTTGTTTAATGGTTGTGGGGGTAATATACACATGTCGAAATATACATGTAGATGTTGTGGAAACCCAAAATGCTCTGCAGACAAATCTTGCCTCCCCAAAAACTTGTCCCCTGAACACAGTGAAGGCCTACCCACATGTTTTATTAAGCACTGTCTCTACTGTGTGCGCAGTTATGCATGTACGCTCTGATTATAAGCCATTGAGACTGCACGGACTTCACGAACAAAGAGAATTCATCCCAAGCAGGCCTCTTTGTGCCTTCTAAGTTATAGAAAAATCTGGAGGTCAAATAATGCACAATGGACAAAGACACCTGTACAGATGATGCAATCTTTGTTTATACAGAGAGTTAAAGTTGGCAGTTGATGAAACTAACTTCTGTTGCATAAAACCCCCAAAAAGTGCATACATGATGCTGACATTATAGCATTCATGTACATCTACATGATATATTTACAACATAAAATGCCTAAGTAAAATATCAAAAATACATGTATCTCAGTTAGTTACAAAGCATGCACATGTACATACATGTACATTCTGCCAAGGGAAAAATGTCAAAGGTCGTTACATCCCATGAAAAATATCCAGCTACCGGGGAATCTGTGTATGTTTTCTGAACACACATCAGTACATGTGTACTGCATATCCTGTATAGTAAATTTCCCTGAATTCACAGCCAAACAAAACAATTTAGAAAATATATTCCAACATGAAAATACGTTCTGACTGAAAAAAAGGACTCACCTTCACAGCTGAGGCACACCTAGGGAGAAGAACAAAGACACATTGTATCATTTAAAACACTTAACACAAGAACTATGGGAATTCCAAGACAAAGACCAAATAGGCTGTGGTTGATTTCAACCAGAGATGGATGGATATTACCATATCAAAAGATCCAAATTTAGATCAGGAATCTGTTCCATTGTTGGCCATTCTGTCCAATGACAAAGATTCTAAATGGTATTGATTTTGACGGTAAATGTGTTCAAAATCTATATTTTCAAAATAATAATAAAATTTGGACTTATACATTGTAAGCTTGAACAAGTCCAGCAAATTTATCTATTGTTTGAAATTAGCATGACATGGTCTTGCTTTGTTTTTTTTTTTTACACAGAAAATCCAGGGTAAAGACTGATAATGTACATGAGATTAACTTGAACACAAAGAAACTCAAGCAGACATGAATGCATTCCCAACTTAAACCGCTATACTTGCTTTATGAATAAACTGATGCCGACAAATGATTAAAGACTTGCTACTGCAATTTTACAACAGCAATTTCACTTTCTGTCACTTTTTACAGTAGTCCTCAGAAAATTTAGCAATAAAAGAATTTCACTGCAACTTTGTAGTGGGTACATGAACTCAAAGATTTATGAGCATGAATGTTAAGAGCTTGACGACATTTCACTCACTGGGAAATATGAGGTAGCAATATTGCTCAATATTACCAAGGCACGAGAAACAAAACATCAAAGTACACAATGATAGGGGATGAGCTACGTTAGGGGCTTTGCCACATTGGACCCAGAGTCTATGCGCATACACTCTGGTATGGCCATCTAGATGTTATACTGGACTGTCTTGTCTAGTTCCCACTTCAATTTCCTTCAAATTCCTTCCCACAAATGAAAGTACGTCGTCATGGATGGTGTTACCAGTCTCTACATGTATCAATGGACAAATGCTGCCATGCAAATTAATCACTGTCTGGCAGAAACACCCATACTTATTCATCCGAACTGCAACAAAGCCAAGCCAAGCAGGAAGCAAACACTAACCTCATCATTTTCATCATCCACGTAACGAATATCAAGTTCACCCACGTTCAGATAGCATTTCAGCTGTTTGGTAGGGAACAAAAAGAAATAATAGAATTATTACAAATCTCTGAGAAATATCTTGTTTGACAAAAGGACTAAAGAGTTGCAGTATTGACCCTCAGTCTCTCTCAGGACCAAACATACATGTACATTTATTAAAACAATATCTGTTGCATCAAGCACAAATGTGTTGAAAGGGAGAAAAAAAAGAATTGTCCAAGTGAAATTCTTATAATTTCATCATTTCAATTTTTACATTTTTATATTATCCAACAGAATGTTTACTAAACTGCCGTTTTCACACCTTTCCTATATTTCTAAATATGGTTATTTTTGATGAGTTTGCATCCCATTATAAATTCCATGTAATTAAGCTTTTGAAAGTGATAGGATTTTTTAATCAACCTTCGAAAAAATGTTACACATAATCAACTGCACAACATGAGAATAGCTTGAAAGTGCCAGGTGTATGTAGGACAGATGTGTTCATATGCACCACAGCTACTTCAAGGACTTGTACATCTGCAATGGTTTCTAGCATGTACATGCATTTTTATTGTTATTTATGCATATGTAAGCCTACAAGCCAAATGCTGAAATTCTTCTAAAACTGTTTTTCAGAGAGCAGAAAATCGTGTGTAGATGGTGGACCTTGTACGTCTACATAGTGTCTGCATTTCCTGCACTTTCTAGGATTGACTCAAACATCCATTCCTTCTGTTTGAAATTTTATTTCATTTCATTTACTAATGTTTTGATGTTAACAAGGTCCAGGGACATTCCACTAAGACCACTGATTCCAATGTTTTATGAGACATTTTATGAGATCAATATATGGGTAACTCCAGAAATTTGGGGTCCATTTTTTTCGTGTCCCTGTCACATCTGACATGTGATTTTGTAAGTTCACAATAGATTTTGTAATTTCCAAGAGTGATGAATTAATGCAAATTACTTGTCAAACAAATAATAAAAGTTTGAAATCAATTCCAGTGATATTTCCATTTCAAATAACAAAGGTAAGATGTAACAGGGACACAAAAATGTCACACTTTTGAACCCCTAATTTCTGGAATTACCAAAAAAGCTATTTAGCATCAATGAGCGTCAGTGAGCATCAACAAGTTATTCAAGAATATTGATGCAAGCAATTTATATTTATATCAATTAGGCTTCTAATTATCATATACCATATCACATTTATCTAAAATGATTTTCGACTGTGGAAATTTGAGCGACAAAGTCATTCTGCTCGTGTAGCCCAACTGGCTGCTATCTTGTTTTCACGTGGACGGCAGAGAAAAGAAAGATGGCGGCCCCCATACATTGTGTACAATTTTCCTTTTCCTGCATGAATCTGGAAGAACACTCGCTGTTTCTCTTATACAGTGGGACATGCTAGAGTCTGCAAAATATGATGCAACCATTTTGAAATCTTTAGAGGATATTTTCAAGTTGTTGGCACTTTGACGACACTACTTGTGTGTGTTGACACTTGTTGACAGCTCGGCTTTGGATTACGGGAGAATCAGAGATTCCAATAATGATGGTAAGGTGTACTCACATCTGGGAAAAAAATTCCCCTTCAAATCGAAAATGCTGAGCTCAAAGTCGCCATCTTGTTCAAAAAGCGATTTGAACTGTGTTAATGTCCTGGAGACGACATCAAACATCACGCCAGCCTAGTGGACTATTCACAAAAGGTATGCCGTGTCGGCACACACAAACGTGCCAATGACTGATTCCTGAGTGCCGCAATGTCCGGCACATGTGATCACACCGAAACTGTACTCTGGACATTGTGGTACTCAGGAAGAAGTGGTCAACGTGCATTTGCCAACATGGCATGCTTTTTGTGAATGGTTCGCTAGGCTGGGTGCGCTGTGTTGTCTCCAGGGCAGGGGTCGAAATTAACGGTGGTCCAGTGGACCAGCCGATCTAATAAGACTGGTGGTCCGGTGGGTCAGTTGATGTCTTTTCTGTCTTCACAAAACAACTTTCCATAACCTTTTCTCATGTTAAAATGCTTGTTTTTATATGTTTTCCAACTTACATTTGCAATTTTTGAAAAAAAAAAACCTGTTTCCATTCCCATTCACGTTTTGCTGTTGCAGTGGTGAAAACACATGCACTAAGCTCAATGCGTTAAACGAAGCTGCTCTGGTTCCCGCTGCGCCAGGCCCATGCAAACGAATGTGTGATGATAATGTAGCAACCGGAACCAGTCTGTCTGTACATTTACTGAATGTACTGTACATGTACACTCTACCTCGGCCGTACACATCACAGATGCAATCCTAAGGCTGTAGGTCGAAAAGACATCGATACTGCAAAAGGATTTTTGCAAGTAAATTCACAGAATTTGGTCTCTTGGTTTATGGTTGTATTTTCTGCGTTTAATTTGATGTTGTTCTGCTCGTGGCACAAGGTTTATTTCCCGCTTGTCTGGATGCATCATGCATGCTTACTACGCGATCCACGGACATTGTTGGACAGTTTGATGTCGTGATTGGCTGAGTAGCACTGTGTGAATTGTCCATAATTCACGTGAATTGTTGCCTGTAGAAATCTTTACATGGATTAAGACAGGTGTTCATCATTTTTTGAGATAAAATTGGAAGCTGTTGTCCCCATTGATGCCATTCAATCAGCAAACAAAATTGGCCCCCAAAACAAAAGAATATTCCGACCTACCGACACCATTTTGGAAAGGCATGTAATTAGAAACACAGTGAGTTTTTGGCCTAATAAAAGACAGTGTGCTTGCAGTGGGCCTAAGTTAAATCACCATTATAATTGTGGATTCCGATTAATCTTGGGCAAGTGTCGATCCAACTTGGGCAAACAAAGTTATGACATGGCCTGCCTGATCAGGCAAAATAAAAAAAAAAAATTGTTGGGGCCTATGCCCTAAACAAGGATTGTTCAATGCAGCTGCGTGTGCAGTTCTGGTAGGACCACCAAACTTTCAGCACGACTAGTGGAAATTTTGAAGTACTGCTACTGGTCCTGGCTACCAGAAAAAAAGGTTAATTTACAGTTAACACAGTTCTAATCTCTCTTTGAACAGGATGCGACTTCGAGCTTGAGGACAAGGGCATTTCTGATTGAAGGAAAAATTTCTCTTTCTTCCCAAATGTGAGTAAACCTTGCCATAATTATTGGAATCTCCGATCCTCACTAAGGCCTAGGCTGCATCATAGCTAATCCGAAACTGGACGCATTAGACCAGTATTTTCTGTAGACAGTTTAAGGACTGTTTTGGAGGTGAATTCAAAGGATTTTGATTCGGGGTAAGAGCTATTTTGAGTGAAATAAATTAATGCAATGGAAATCCAATGAAAGATACTTGGACCCTACAATCGCCCGACCATGTCCAAATGTCTAAAGGGCGATTTGTAGGGTCCAGGTTACTCGGACTAACTTACCATTGCCTCTAAATTCAACCAGTTTGTGGTGTAGTCAATTTTCAAGATCTCTGTGTTGCCCTCAAAATCAACGTCCAAAACGAAGATTTTCGCCATTTCCTATGACCGAAAGGTAGCCAACTCCAGTGTTATTTACAAATTTGCACCACCAGCAACCATTTCAGTGGTATTTTTGTCGATGATCTAATTTTTTTCCACATCTACAGCAGGATGACTTGCCGGATCAGTCTGGCGATGTTTACCAAATGGCTGACAATGTTGTGATTAAGGGCCATTTTGCCATGTCAAATACGTCCGCGACATAAATAAGGCTGTATGTTTTAGACAGATTACAAAAACAGGCAGCAAATACGAGTAAATCACTCCTCCTAGTAATTTAAGGGAAAACTGTCATTTTGTAATGCTTAATTTGTTTACTGTTATCATTATTTTAACAAATTCCCAACAGCGGATGAATAAATCCTGGTAAATATAAATAGAACTGATGTAATGCATACTGAAAATTACGTGTGTACTACAAGGTTGGTGGCGCTATTCAAAGGATTCTACCTGGATTCACCACCTGCCTGTCTATTATTTGTCGTCGTCTGTTAAGCAAAGTAAGAACTTTCTTCCTTTTTTTTTTCTTCCAGATGGTGCGCCAATTTCATAAACTTGAAGATTCAGGCACATTAATGGATAGGCAGTTCGTGGATGGAGTTCATTGTAGAAAGAATAGGTTACTGCTTAAACTCTAATAAGGTCGAGTTCGGGCGACCTGTTCTTGACATAGGTTTCGGTGTTCTCGCGCTCTAAGTT